AAAAAAATGCATCATTTCTTTCCTTGTTGATTTGTGAAATGTATTTTTATTCCCTGCAGCTGTCTTTATTTTTTTAAATAATTATTTATGAAACTGTCTTATTATAAACTCTGAGAGGAAACAAGTTGTTTTATTCAACTTTATCTTACAACCAACTTATCGCTTTGCCGATTTTAGGTCCTTAATTAGTACTGATTAATAACTGTCAATTATAATACAATCATACTACCCTATACCACATGACATATTTTTTGCCAGTGTTAAACTGAGACTACAATTCTATGTTTCTGAGCCTGAACATAAGGATTACCTAGACTCTGCACATTTTTCATAAAATAATAATAGCAATTTAAAACAGCACCACTTTATTGAGTATGTAGTATATGCCAGACTCCCAGTACTGGGTGCTTAATCTGCATATTCTCATTTTCCTTTGAAAACCTCCTCAATATAAGTACTATTACATCTGTGCCCTCAATACTCCTCCTCAAACACCACATATGCAATTTACAGATGAGGAAACCAAGGCTCAGAGAGTCTAACAACCTGCCTATGAAGACATAACTATTAAGTGGTGAAGACTGGGTTCAGATCAAGTCCATTGGATTGTAAAAAGTCTGTGTTTTCTTCCTTTTTACATTACTTAGCCTTTTAACTGTATCTAAAATTATGATTTTCATTTTAATTTTCAAATACTTTACCTGTTCCCTTAAGGACACAGTTTTGAATGTAAGAATATCAGGAAAGTGTTTGCGTGATTGTTTTTATGAAAAATGTTCTGATTACCATAGAGTGGTTACAGACTAACACATACTCAGAAAGTATTTGGCCTAATCGTGCTAACGCAGTGCATTCTGCTTGCCCCTTGCAGCCTGAGATATCCTTCAGCCGGCTTTAAGTGTAGCAATGAAGGACATGGGAATAAAGAGCTGGATGTGTCCACAGTCTTAACAGCTTGCTGGTGGAATTTTATCAACTTATTTAGGTCTGTTCAGGTAACTTTTTGCCTCTATGTACAAAGAACGGTGCTTAATGTAGACTGCTATGAAAGCATTATTTTCCATTTGCACCTCGACGATCTACTTACACAGACCATTTTTAACAGTTACTCTTGAAATTAAAAATCGGCTTTGCATTTTCCTTCTCTCCGAAATTTTACAATCTCCTGTCCTAAGTAATCACAAGCCACAGATACTCAGCAGCCACATCTCTCCTCATGACAGCAAAAGGAAGAAATTGATTTTGTGACAAAATATTCTTGGAAATCAAATCCAAGACTCACTTTTAAAATGGTAATGAAACCACTGACTACCAAATGTGTTTTGGTAGTCACTCCTAGATTCCAAACTTCTAAATAACTTCCCCACATTAATTCAAACTTAAGCTTCAGGAAATATAATAATTATGAATTTAAACACAGATCCCTATACAAACAAGTACTATGTTTACAATGTACCAATCCACTAAAATCAATAAGACATAGATCATGAGAACTACAACCCAAGCCAAGTAGACTAGCACTCACCATTTGCCCATTCCCCATCCAAGGACAGTAAACATCCTATTGGAATCTGCTCCAAAAACAAAGGCTTTACCAACCTAATGTCAAGGTAAACAGTAGTAAATACCTACTTGATACGACTAACCGGTGGTATCATTTTCATTCTTTAGAGTCTAAACACAACTCAATGTTGGCATTTTTTCCTTTGAAAGAAACCTTCAAGATGACACCATTATAACATAGCTCTTTACTTGGTAATTTTCAAGAAAAATAGTTTACGGGTGCTATCTCACATTGACTGGAAATTTGTTAAGCCACAAACCATCTGAATTAAAAGGAATACAGATGTTCTACTATTTAGAAAAAAAGCCCGTTTCCTGTATTTGTGTTAAATGCCATCCCCCCCAAATTAAGAGCTACCCAGAATCAAAGCCCCATAAGCTTAAGCTCCCATTGTCCTGAAGTCAAGGCAGTAAAATTATGTCTACTCTGTAAATCATACAAAGTAGAAAATGA